TCCGTTTATACATATCTGGTGCTGTCCCCAAACGTAACCTGCTTGCCTGGTTACGTTTGGGGAAAGAAACCAGCTCTTTTGTGACTTTCAGGTCATCACTGCTGTCACTTTCTGCAATTAGTTTCTAAGTATGCTTGTCTGTAAATTTCCTAACACTCAGATTTGAGAGGTATCTGCTTCCATCTGATTCCATTCCAAAATCATCAAATTTACCCACATCTCTGACCAAATTCAAACCTCACATTCCCACTATTGTTCTTCTTGGTTTCTGCCCAGATTTGTCACGGATAAAATACTATCATTATCTAACTGACATGGGATTCCGAGGCATGATGCTCTCCTCACTTTCTTCCTAAGCTCTCTGGTGAGTACTTTAGGATTTTGACACAAAAGAGGCTCAAGAAATACTATGCGTTAGTTAATAAATTGAAAATTTCAATTTTTATGATTCTTTTCTCATTAACTTTTGGTGTCTTCCCCTTAATTCATCCTTTACTTTTGCTCAGTAAAATGACTCCTAGATATTATATAATTTTCATAGTTTTAATTAACAACTCTTATGAATGTGAATGGCAAATTGGCTTGTCTAGCCTTGAATTCTGATCTTCATGCAGTACCTCCAGACTCCAGCAGCACTTTCTCTGAGTTTTCTCTCCTTCAGCAAGGTAAGCTACTGTTCAAAATATTTCTGTAGCCCTCACTGAGGGATGAAGCAGAATAGTGGATTATGGCCAGATACTGAGCTAACACCAAGGTCTGATGAATTCCTACTCACAGACTTTTCTTTTTCAAAGACATCGGCATAAGCCCATGGATCTGGGAAAGGTAAACTCCAGCAATAGAAGATACCATGCTACGTTTGAAAGTCTGTCTGTGGCTTAATTACTGAATCATGCTGGCTGCCATCTTTTTCTTAAGATGCTTTTAAGTTTTCATGCAAAGATTGCTTGCAGGCCCACACCCTCCAAGCCTTCATATATCTCTGAGTGTGTTTCAATCCCTGTTAGCCTTCGGTGACACATATATACACATAAATATGAATGTTTGAGTTCCTGCTATATAACAGGTACTATATATTATGTCAACCAATTGTCATTAGTGCCAATTCAGCGCCAACAGGAGCCCCCAATTTGGGGCTCAGTGAAGAAGAAAACTTTAGTCAGTGCAAAGCAGCTCAACTGTGATACAGCACAGCTGTGAAAACAGCATGGCCTTGAGGCAACCCCGGGGCACCCCCCCCCCCCC